TATAAAAATATAATATAAAAAAATTATTCCTATATTATATCCTAATAATTTATTGATATGTGACCTAAAAAAATAATTTAATATAAAATAAGATGATTCCAGTTCATGATTTTTTGATGATTGATTATATATATAAAATAATTTGATGACAATCTTGGTATGTTTTATTAATAAAATTTTTAAACAATGTAAATTCACTAAATTGATATTTTCGGTTGATAATTCAAATATTAAGATTGGAATTCTTCAATTATTATTATTTTTATATTTGGTTGCATTCTCTTAATTCATCTTATTCTTAACCATATACTAGAATTTTTTTATTTTTATTAAAAAATTATCATTAAATTAATTAAATCATTAATTAATTACTTTTTTTTTTAATTTAAAGCTTTTGTTGCAATGATGAGGCTGGTGTGGTTAATATGATTATGCTATCTATTATTTTATTAAAATTATATAATTTTATTTAATGTAAATATTAAAAATAATTTATAATTAATAAAATAATTTATGTTTATTATTTAATAAATTAAAATCAATTCTAAACATTATAGCCAATTGTTTAAGAAAAAATTATAAATAAATAAAATAGGTGGTGATAACCACACCTTGGATGCTTGATCTTCAATGATGATAACCTTCTTGACACTTCAGGAATTAGTGTTACGTGTTGTAAGGTTGTGGAGGGAATGAGCACGAATAATGGAAAATCACACAAAAATTAATTTTGATGCAACATCATTACATGTAATATTATTTTATATAAATTTATTTTTTTATATATCTCATTTTTAAATAAAATATCTAATAAAATACTATTTTACTAACTTTTAATGGAGTTTGGAGTAATTTAATATAATTAACTAAATATCGAGAGGTTACTATTAAAAAACTAACCGACACAATCAAATATCATATCAATCGATAAAAAAAATTTACCCCCAAAGGAGGCAAAACAACGTTGTCTTCGCTCCTTCTAGGACAAATTCTTTTGATCGAGCTCAGCTCCGTTATGAGAGCCAATCTCGGTCACCATGTTTCGTTTCCTCCATCTGTTGCTTCGTGTTTGAGTTCTGTTCTAGTTTTGGAAGAGAACAACAAAATAAAACATCGTAGTATATGCTCTAATAGCCTAATTAAGTGTTTATCAATGGCTTGAATAGTTTAATATTTTAATTTTTCTAAATAATAATAAAATTGAATTTGATGATGTAAATATGGTGAGAAAAGAAATAAGAGAAAAATATTATTTATTGTGCAATTGAAAATGAATAACAATAAAAGTGCATTGTTTTAAGATTTAAATTATTTTAAATTGTAAAATAAAAATTTGTAAATAAAAAAAGACCTCTAATGTTAAGGAATATTTTTCAATCAAATGGTTAATATTTTATAATACAAAATAATTTAGATTATAAAATATTTTTTTAATAATAATAATAATACTTTTAATTGAGGTAACTACCCCTTCTTGTGTAATTTATTCGGATGTACAAAATAATAATAATGATAAGCTAAGAAAGTGTTTAATGTAAAAAAAAAAAAAAAAACCCCTCCTTGGAAATTTGGATAAAAATTTTAAAAACGCTGCGTTTTAACCAAGCCCTCCCCCTTTCGCTGCACGAACTCCTGATTTTCACTGAACGCACATAAACCCTCGAGTCGAGAATTCAAGATCAATGGTCCTGTTAAACCCTAAAAACAATCAAAGGCAAAAGATCACTTTTTTCCTTGAATGAAAATGTCATCTTTTGTGTTGAAAAGATCCTCACTTGTATCTCAATACCCAATAACAAAAACCAGAATTCCATGTTCCTCACAACTTCTTCACAAATTCCAGGATTCAAATACAAATCACGAGGATTTGGATCGTGGGTTTTGTTCGGTTTTGCTTAAAACCATGAAAATTCCACTTGGGTCTTCCTACAATTCTGCAAATTCAAGTTCTTTGGGGTCACAATGTCACCATTTTTTGCAATGGAACTCCAAAGCCTCGGTTTTGGCTTCTCACAGTGGAGTTTTGAGAAGAAACACTGCTGGGTTCTTTTCTAGTTTACTTGTAAGGGCAAATGATCCATCAAAGTGCAAAGAAGATTTGGTTTTTTCCAGGCAGTTTGGTACAGAAGCTGCCACGGAACCTTCTACATCTGATGGGCTCACGGTGGAAGGAATTGTTAACAGCAGGTGGACAATTCTTGATGAGAGTGAGAGTGATTGGAAGAGTCATGCTGCTGCAATTGCTCAGTCCATTCGGGTCATCAAGAAGCGCCTTCAGGTATGGCTGTAAACATGCTAGAGCTTTTCTTAGTTTTGGTGATACAGAACTTGAAGAATTAATCTATCTGGCCTCATACTATGAAATCAGAAGGCTTATTAATTTCTGAGCATTTTCTGAGCCTGATAAATACGTTTTTATGCTCTGTAGCGAAATTTACTTTCTGTTTCTGTAGGCAGGGCTTAAGATTTCATCATAATATGGTTTTAGTTTAGTGTTGGATTTTTGGTGCAATAATAGTGACATTTAAGTATTAGTGCGGTCTTGTTCTCCAAGAACTCTTGGGTTCACACTTCATAGTGAAATGTCTTGGTTCTTTCATCTCAGGTAGGAGCAGAGAAATAAACAGTGGATTGAGTTCTGATTTTGTGTTTGTAGACGATATCTTTCTGCTCCAGTTTAAAGTATAATTTTGTTTTGTAACTTTGTCACCTTTTTTTTTTTTTTCACAACTTTTAACTTTGTTACTACTAGACTCTCATATATGCAGTTTAAACTTTAAAGGTGATTTTAGATGTAAATATAAGCACTTTGTCCCATGTGGTTGCAGTGGAAAAAACTGATGGTTAGGTTGAATCTGTTATCAGCAGAGGTTAATAAGCCTGACCTATGGAATGATCCTGTACATGCTGGGAAGATAAGCAGGGAGCATGGTTCACTTATGGGTAAAATGAAAGAAGTGAAGGCATTTGAGCAAGAATTGCTTGAGCATATAGAAATGATAAAGCTTGCAAGGGAAGAGAATGACTCTGAGTTGGAATTGGTGGGCTCTCACTTCTTGTCTAGGCATGTATACTTTCTTTTTCATGACCAAGGGCTTGTTTCTCATAAATCTTTTAAAAGAATTGATGTTTATTTTCTGATTTCTTGTGATCCAATGTATATCACATAAGGTTGTGGCATGTTAACTATAGTTGTTGATGCACATTTTATTACACAAATTGAGATCCTTTCTAGTTTCTACCATCAGAGTTTGCATTAGTACATAGAAAAACTGAGTTTGATGCATCAAAATTAATTTAGTAAGATTTGGAAACAAAGA